CATGTCTAGGTTGTTGCTTCGCCCCGAGCGTCGCTTTCCAAGCATTGGCCGCGGCGTGGCCCCTATATCCAGGAGCAGGCGGGCAAAAGTGATCGGCGGCAGCTGCGCCCTTGATTCAGTTGAAGGTCTTTCAGGGGCGGCGTGAGGCGCGCTGGACGCAAGGGCGCACACACGGACGTGCTTTGGCAGATCGTTGGCTTGTTTCCTGTGTGGCCGCTGGTGCGTCTCACAGCGCGCGGAAATTGCTATCGGACACCCGTCAAGCCGCGCCTGAGCTTGCCGGCGGCAAGCCAAGGCAGGACATGAGCAGCCTTGCCCTGGCGCAAGCCCAGGGTGGACACTTGAACGCGTACACGCTGCAGGTGCGCAGCGCAAATAGCGTGCCACAGCGGTCTAAACGGAAATGAACGCCATCAGTATTTTGACATCTTGACATCGTGTCTTAACAAGTCGCTGTTACAAGTTTGAGAAAATTGCACAAAGCGGCAGGCGCAGAGTAACTTGGCTCACTATAACAAGTCGCGCACCCTAAGGGAGCTCTGCGCTGCCCGCTCTCTCAACGTGTAGATGCGCGCAGAGGTTTGCTCGGAGCCAAGCAAGTCAGTTACTTTTTGCCCGCTTCGGCCTGAGCGTTTAGTTTAGCGCTGCTGCTGGAAGCAGCGCCCTGGCAGTGAAAAAGATGCGCTGTCAGAGAACACAGCACGCGCTGCGAACAACCGAATGAAGCTTCAAGCCCGGAGCATTCTGGACCCTGCAGCATGCTGCAAATATTTTGTTCCGTGCGCTTTCCGTCCCATAGCTTCGGCTTGTGTAGGTTCTCGAACAAGGGCCAGGACTTGGTGCAACAGCCCCTTTTCTGCGCGCGCTTCATCCTCAATGGCTTCAAAGGAAACAGCACAAAGCTATCAAGCGAATGCGATGCCAACCAGGGCTATATAGAATGTAAGCCATCTTCTGGCGCAAAGGCAAACAAGACACACATCCATGGATGGGTGGCAGCAGCCTGACAAGCGGGCTCTTCCAGCCCACGCGCGCAAAGCCAGCACTTTGCACGTTGGCTCTGCATTTCTTCAGAACTGCCTTAGTGACAATTGGGGTTAGCGCGGCGTCCTCCAGAGCGCCAGGCTGATCTTCGCCATCATCGCTTTCATCGAGCCTTACTCACATGACACAACTGACCTGCAATTGGCCAGCAAACTCACAAAGATTCAGCTGCAAGACGTCTGCTTGCGCAGACTGCCAGCTTCTTGGCAATTAGGCTGACTCTCAGCCCCATTATTGGAAGAACGCAGCCGCCCAAAGGAAAAGTCAAGGTTTCCTCCGAGATGTATGCCATGTCCTAAAAGATCGGTTGGTCACAACGGTGCCAACTCAGTTTACCTTCTGTGAAGCAGCCTGTCCATAACCAAAGCTTTCTAGACCTAAGGGGCCTGTCTGACAGGCTGGCTGGAGAAGCGCCTTGCGTAACGCATTTGGTTTACACCCTGTTCCTGGAGACGCCGGTTGCCGCAATTTGTTTGTGCTTAAAAAACCCCGTGCTTGCTAACAAATGCTTCGGCTGATCTGGGGGCCTTGACTGACTGACTGACTGAGTGACTGACGGACTGACTGACTGACTGACTGACTGGTTGACAACCTCTATTGACTGCCTGTTTGCCTGACTGACCGACCCACTCACCGACTGACAGATGACTGCCAGTCGACCGACTGACAGATGACTGCCTCGCGGACTCATTGGCTCACTCACGGACCGCATGCGTTTGCTTGATTAGCGACTGACTGATTCTGATTGAAAACGCTATGTTTGCTTCGAGAGCCGTCTCCAAAGAAATCAACAAGGCCTGCATGATTGAACGGCCCAATTGAAGCCATGACTGGTCGATTGACTGACTCGCAAAGCGGCTGGCTCCCTGTTTGGTTGTTTGCTTGCTTGCTTGTTTGCTTGTTTGCTTGTTTGCTTGTTTGCTTGTTTGCTTGTTTGTGTTTGTGTGTTTGTTTGTTTGTTTGTTTGTTTGTTTGTTTGTTTGTTTGTTTGTTTGTTTGTTTGTTTGTTTGACTGCTTGTGCGTTGCAACTGTTTGTTTGTTTGTTTGTTCTTTTTTCAGCGGGGCGCTTGGTCGGTTAATGAATCGATTGCTGGCTGCCTGGTGGCTCGCTGGCTTTCAAGCTGAGGATACCATGATCAAACAGCTTCGCTCGGCGTCTGGCAGCGCACAAGGATACGCGCGCCCTGCAAAGCCAACAAGGCACACTCGTTCTCATATGTATAGAGCCGGGGGCTACTATCCCGAAACACATGTGACAACGCCCAAGGCCTGCGTGGCAAAACGCCGTAGCGCCTGGACAATGGGCACCCGCCTTGCTGACACAAATCACAAGCGTTGGCAGCACCAGACACACGCAAAGCCTGAGTTTTGCACAGGCATGGGCAGCAATTGAGCCATCGTTACGGCGGCAACAAAACGAGTAGACTCTGCCTCGCATGGCCCACGCAGGCCGGCAGCATAGTTTTGCCTGCACAGTTGAAGGCATCATTCTCCGGAGCCGCGCAGCACACTCAGGCACAGAGTACTTCTTCAAGATCTTGCACACAATGCCATTGCGTTGATATCCATCTGGGAGACTATGCGGCTGTAGCTAAAATCACCAGTCACGGGCTGATCGCCACTCAGGCTTGCGATTCGTCGGTGAACATCAAAAGAAAGAAAAAGATGTAGAAAACACTGTTTAGTCCATCAGGGAGCACAATGTGAGTTCGGTGAGGAAACCCAAAGCCTCGATGCGCCGCGTGTCCTCCCAAACAAACGCGGACACTGCAACAGAAACCAACACACCTAAAGTTCCAATGACCATGGCGCAACCCTTTCGACAAAGGACAAGAATTCTGACCCGTCGGGCAAGCTCTGCAGCGGTCCTCCTCCCCGACCTGGGCCCGTGGCGCAAGCGGTCTCCCACCAACCCCAGCCACCCACATTATAGCTCAACGCCAGTTTTCCTTAGGATGCGTCCTTACATCTAAAGAATTTTACATGGGCCACTGTTATGGGCCATTATTCTTGTGGTTTGCTGGCGAGAGAGACGATAGTTCCAACGAACGCAAATCTGCAAGTTTGATTTCAGCAAAAGGGCAACCAAGGACCCAAACATCTGAGTTCCCAAAATAGGGGCCCATTCAGGAAACTGTCTGTGCCAGTGGGTTTCCTGAATGGGCCCCTATTTTTGGGACCGGGGTTTGGGGGCTTGGCACGAAGAGTCCCAGTGGAGTTGGAACCTTTCAAGATTGCTGTCGCCAAAGATTGCTACTCCAGAGGCAGCAGTTGAGAAACGCACACATCCAGCCACCTGGTCCTTGTGCTACGTACCCAATACATAAGGGGCAAAAAGAGTATGTATTTTTCAGCCACTAGCAGCCCATAACAAGGGCCCAAGTAAAAAACTTTAGATTACAACTGTATCTCTGCAATCGGGCCCCGACGGTGCAATCGAGCCCCAACCTCTGGGCCCGTGGTGCAAGCGGGCTCCCACTAACCCCAGCCACCCACATAAAAGCTAGCAAAACTAGGCGATGCCAGCTTGGTACTGAGGTGCCCGACAGTCGGGGCCCGATCGAGCCCCGACGGCGCAATCGGCAAGCGGGCCTGCCCCGGGCTCGGTGAACCTCGCAAACCGTCCTCGTGGAACTCTCGCAGAACTGAGCGTGAAACTTTGTTGGTCGCCACTGATCAGACTCTGAAACTATAGAGTTTTGTCATGGCTTGCAGATGTTGAATCAGATGGAGTCGCATTGCTCTTGCGAAGTGCAGTACATTGAATATTTCTCAGGCCTTGGCAACCTGTGGATGGCTTGAAAAAGAACACCGCCAGACTACAACGGAGACACGTTAAAGAGATTTGTGGCCGAAGGCAAATCACTGGCTTGGATATCAAGTCTGCTGTGCTTCCTGGCAGCAATCGCCAGAAACTCTTGCTTAGCAAGACACATGTCCTTTTGCAACCTTCTGCGTTGGCTGGGCACTTGTCGCACGAGTTGCCCTTGGGCGCATATGTTGCATCAACTTTGAAACCTTTGCATTTGCACAGCTCAAGTCCACTGCACGCATTGCAGCTGGCAATTCCTTTGCTCCGAGCATTATCCTCCTGGCTTTGGCTCAGCCGTGGCCAGGGAATACGCAAAATGGATTGATTTCTAACTTCACCCGGCGCGAGCCTATCTGAGCTCTGCCTGCGCACAGCTGTTGATTGGCGGATCAAAAACACTTTGACTTGTTTGCCTGCGGGTGTTGCGCTGCTTGTGGGTGTGACAGTGAGCCATTTGAGACGACCAAACAAATTAAGTTAAACGCTGCCACTTATTTCCCATGTTTTGAGAAGGGTGTGAGCAGCGCTTCAACTGACTGACCCTGCCTGACTCTGTCACTGTAACTTGTCTGGCTGACACTGATATATAGCCATGTTGGGTTTGCCAGTTCAATCCGTGACATCCCTCCTTCACTTGTAGCCGAGCACTCAGATACTAAAATGTGTTGGGTGACATGACATTGCGTGCCTGCTGTAGAATTCGAAGCTGCGCTGTGCCCTGCCCCAAGGTCAATCTCGGCGGAGGATATATCAGTTGACACGTGAACAAATGACACATGACAGGTAGCCGAACAAGGTCTTGAGTAATGTTGAAATTCAGGTCAATTAAACTAGGTGTTTTCAGGATGTGTTTGACCTTTGAATGGATTTGGCAGGTTCGCAAAGACAAAGAAACGTTTTGAGTTTGGAGAGCTTATAGTGAGATGCAAGCAGTTTTAGCAATCAACTCAGAGCGTGTCCTCTGACTTCCAATCCCTTGCTCCGTTTCAAACTGGGGTTCCACTAGCCGGTTCCATGGACTTTATAGCCAGCCGACATGAACGATTTCAACTCGTTACGGCCCAGTTTCGCAGCACCTTGGCAGAACCAACAGTCAAAGGGTTTGGCCATCCCTCAACTGGCGGCGTGCGAACGCTTCCGCAGGCCATGGCCATGTGCATCTTCACTCCGCTCGCTCGGACGAGAGTGGCGCGCCATCCTACTCTCCCACTGCGCCGCGTGTTGGGGCGGGCGGGCGGGCAGGGGCGTTGGGAAATCGGAGGGTTGACCAGCTCGGTCCTTGGCAGGCAATGCAAACGATGATTTCGCCCCCAATGGTTGCTTTACAGGCGACACTGTGTCAAACTGTCTAGCCTGGGAGGCTCGTCATCTTTGACAGCAGGGGTGCTCCCTTCCTGGGCCAGGCTTGAGCTGGAGAGTGCGAGGTCTGGAGGCGACGTCACCCTTCATTTGCATTGGATGGATCGCGCTGGGTATGTTTTTTCCCAGGGCACCCTTTTGTTCAACGGAAGCTAAAGGGCAAGACCCATAAGAATGTCCATGTGACAGATTCCACACCTTGGCCAACCCTGCGCAGGGGGGAGAACTTGTATATTCCTAGTAGAAGCCCTCGTTACGCAGGGCCCACCCTCGATGAAACCGCAGTTCCCACCGGAATCAACGCATGTTAGCGGATTGGGGCTGTCTCAAGGAGCCACAACTTCGGGCATAGGACGCAACCGCCTTCCAGGCACTGCGTAACAAGGAAGGCGTGCTTGCTTGCCAGAGACATCAACTCTTGCAGGGCCGGCTCAAAATCCTCGGTAGGCGCTCGCCTTGCGCTTCGGGGTTAAGAAGGTCCACAACGTCAAAAAATCCGCACGCACATAGGTGCCAAAACATGCAGCATGCTTGGCGGATTGAGTTGATAAAATCTGGTTTTTTGATCAATTGTAATGTAGGCACTATTGATGTCAGTGAGCCGAGGCAATGTGAGTTTCTTGCCTGGGTCACAGGAACAGGCTTTTGGCTGGTTGTGCCATCAATTACCAAACGTGGGTGCCACAATCAAAGACAAGTACTCAGTGGATGCATGAACTACCAAGTTGACACCCTGGCCGCTTCTTTATTTCAAGCCCAGGCATGTAGATCGCTCTCTGCCACAACTAGCACGCGGGTGCCTTTGTTTCCTATGTTGCTAATGTTTGGACCTTCAACCTTGGGACTTTTCGAAGAATGTTTTTCCCCGCCCAGCAGACAGTCGGCTGCGGGCGCGGGGGCAATGGAGACAAAAGAGGGCCGGCCCCTTGACGCCTCAGCAAAGGCAGGGCCACCGCTGGGCGTAAGGGTATTTGGATTGAGAAACTGAATAGTCGGATTCAGAAACGCCTGTGTAAGCGCTCAGGACTGCCAAATGGTAAACACGCCGCTCAAGAGCGCCCGCTCAGCAGTGCACACATGCCTGCCACTGGTAAGCACACGCGCTCAAGAGCGCAGCGCCCGCTCGGCGCTGCACACATGCTTGCCAAGTGGTAAGCGCACCCGCTGAAGAGAACCCCTCAGCACTGCGCACATGCCTGGCAGATGGCACGCACACCCGCAAAAGCACCTGCTCTGCACTGTACACTTGCCCGCGAAATGGTAAGCGCACCCGCTCAAGAGCCCCCGCTAAGCGGAGCGCTCGTGCCTGCCAAACGGTGAGCGCGCCCGCTCAAGAGCACCCGCTCAGCGCTGCACACACGTGTGCCAAATGGTAAGCGCGCCGGCTCAAGAGCGCCCGCTCACCACTGCACACGCGCCAAATGGTATGCGCGTCTCCTCACCGCTGCGCGCAGGCTTGCCAAATGGCTCAAGCGCACCGGCTCAGCACTGCACCCATGAGAGCACCCGCTCAGCGTTGCACACATGCCTACCAAATGGTAAGCGCACCCGTTCAAAAGCGCCCGCTCAGAACTGCACACACATGCCCGCCAAATGGTACGCGCGCCTGCTCAGCAGTGCGCGCGCGCCTGCGAAATGGTAACCACGCCGCTCAAGAGCACTCGCTCAGCACTGCACGCATGCCTGCCACATGATAAGCGCACCTGCTCAACAGCACACGCCTGCCGAATGGAAAGCGGACCCGCTCAAGAGCGCCCGCTCAGCTCTGCAAAGGCTCCTGCCAAATGGTAAGCACACCCAGCGCTGCACACCTGCCCGCCAAACAGCGCTGCACATATGCCTGCCAAATGTTAAGCATACCCGCCCAAGAGCACCCGCTCAGCACTGCACACGCTCGCCAAATTGTAAGCGCGCCCGCTCGAGAGCACCCGCTCACCACCTTCACCGCTGCGCATTCCCCGGCTCGAATACGACGTTGTAGTGTCCGAATACCGGTTTCCGAATACCCGTTTTAAAATACTAAGTGGCCAAGCAAGAGTCTCATGTCTTGTTTACAGGATGTCTTAGCACAGTGAACGACCGTATTTGGTTTTGTGCAGACGTGTCCCAGCGCGGCGGTCAACCGTCCACAGACGCAGGCGTCGACATTTGTAGATGTCAGGCTGCCTGGCGCGCTGGGTGTTCGATGTTGCGCAGAAGTGTGCCAGCACGTCGTTAATGTCGGAGGCTCATGTTCCAAAGGCGCGCGCACGCTTCCGCGTTGCTACTCGTCGATTTTTTCGCCTTAGCGGTTCAACGTGAAGCCAGACGTGCGGGCTGGAGCGCCAGCTGCTCAAAGTGTGAAAAAGCTTGTCGCGCTTGCTTCATCCTGTTGGCCTCGTTTCGGGAGGTTCCAAAATTCTTCAGACCGTGAAGCCGCTTCAAGGAGTACTGGAAGGCGATCGCTTCAAAATGTCCAGGAACTGGCCCAGAAACACCCGGGAAACTATGTATATTTTATTTTTTGAAATTTCTGGAGGCCTCCAAAAATTAAAACAAATATAAAAACATAAACATTTAAGATATTTGAATTATTTAAACTATTTGATTTTTTAACTTACAATATCCTGGAACTGGCCCACAGAGAACCCGGGAAACCTTTGTTGAATTTGTTTTTTAAATTCTTGGAGGCCTGAAGAGATTCAAAAAATAGAAATAAACATATAAATATTTAAACTATGTGGTTTTTTCAATTATTTGAATTATTTAAATTATTTGAATTCTTATAATTTTTGAATACCCTGGAACTGGCCCAGGGAGAACCCGGGCAACTATTTACATTTTTGTAAATTGCTTAAATTTTTGGAGGCCTCCAGAAATTTAAGAAATTTAAAAAAATATAGGTATCTAAATTATTTGAGTTATTTGATTTTTTGTAATTTTTCAATATCTTGGAACTGGCCCAGAGAGAACCCGGGCAACGATATTTTCTCTTTTTTTTTAAAAAAAGGAGGCCTCCAGAAATTTCAATAAATTTAATATATATATATATTCAAATTATTTGAAATTATTTACTTTTTTGAATTCTTTTTTCAATATCCTGAAACTGGCCCAGGGAGATCCCCGGAAACTATTTTGTTTGGAAGGCCTCCAGAAATTTAAAAAATTAGAAGATATAAATAATTCAATTATTTGAATCATGTTTTGCTTTAAATGGCCCAAGGAGAACCTGGGAAACCATTTTTGGATTTGTCTTTTTTCTGGGAGGCCTCAAGAAAGTTCAAGAACAGAATAAATATAAAGATCCATTTTTTAAATTATTCAACTTATTCATGTTTTTCAACCTTTTCAAATATCCTAGAACTGGCCCAGGGAGGACCCGGGATATTACTCAAAAACAGAAAATGGAGGCCTCCAGAAGTTTAAGAGATTTAATAAATAAATGATTATTGTTTTGCTTGTGTTTTTTCAATCTTGCTGAATATCCGGGAACTGGCCAGGGAAAACTTTGTTAGAAGCCTCTACAAATGTAAGAACAAATTACAAACAACTAGGTTTTGTGGAAAAAACAAAAGCAAACCCTCTATATATTTAATACCCGGGAACTGGCCAGGGAGAACCCTGGAATTTAATTATTGTTCTGTACAAAAAATGGAGGCCTCCAGAATTTCAAAAATTAAAAGATAAATAATTTTAGATTATTTGACATGTTTTACTTGTTTTTAATATCCTGGAACTGGCCCAGGGAGAGCCCTGGATTCTTTGTTGGTTTTTGGAGGCCTCCAGAAATTCAAAAAACAGTTGCTTAAATTATCTGATTTTTTAGGTTGTTTAAACAGAATGGAACTGGCCCAGGGAGAACCCTAGAAATGATTCAATTTTCATATTTACAAAAGGATGCCTCCAGAATTTGAACAGCAACTTTTTTTTTATAATGCTTTCTCAGGGGCCGCCAAAAGGATTGAAGGAAATTGAATAGCACACGTAGTCAAATTCGTAGAACTATCTAAATGACTCAAACGTTTTTGTTCCGAGCCTCCAACAAATAATGCGCTAAGAAACACATTTGTACATTCCATAATTTCGAATTGTTTGAATTCGAGACACCCAGATTCTTTAAATATTCTATAGTGGGCCCAGGAAGGGCCCTGGACATAACTTGGATTATTTGAACAGAGATGTTGTTCAGGACCTCCAATGATTTGATCAAAATAAGCAGTTCGCATTTTGGAATTATTTGATTTTTTTCATTAGGAAAATTTCATTTTCGGAACTAGCCCAGGGGGGTGCCCTTGAAATTGGTTAAATTGTGTGAAATATCTAAATACTTAGTTACCTAAACATGTTCATTTGTTCTAACTATTTAGGACGTTGGACACAAATGAATCTGGAGTTCTCCAAAAGGGGCCCGTCCCTGTGAACATATTTGGGTAGAAAGCATGTTGCTTTTATAAGACATATTCTAAGGAGACTAGTTGTTCAAATCATGTTGGTTAATAATAGTTAGACAAAATAAGGTGCTGGTTTCCAAATATTGACGATTCCCAAAGATTCGTGTAATTAGGCTAATTAGACCAACTTTGAGAAATAGAATAAGTACCAAGCGATTGACCTTTAACTCCCCAGAAAACGCCCGCCCCTTTGAGAATAATTAGAATACTTAGCATGATTATGAAACATGAGAATAATTGGATTAGATAATAGATCTGGAATTCCTGAAAGGGGCCCATCCCGTTGCGAACCATTGGACTAAATCAAATCATTATGATAAGTAGAAGCAGTAGCAAGAATATGGATCTGGAATTCTCCCCCCCCTGGAAGTAATTATTTGGAAAACATGAATGTGGAAC